CACCTGGTTCAACCAGCCCGCCCGCAAGATCCGCCGGTGAGTCCCGGCCCGCCCCGCCGCTCCTCGGGCCCGCCCGCGCCGTCCCGGCCGCAGCCACGGGATGAGACATCTCCGGAATCGCTGCAGCGCCGTGATGATTCCCCTGAACCCTGTGTGTCTGATGGCTGCGGCTGGAACGGAGAGACCCCCGCGCCGGGGGGGCCCGGCCGCCCTGTCTGATCGCTGTCCCGTCCCGTTCCAGGAGGAAGGCCCGCCAGGCCAAGGCTCGGCGCATCGCTCCCCGCCCCGTGGCCGGGCCCATCCGGCCCATAGGGCGCTGCCCCACCTGCCCGACCATCCGGTACCACAAAAAAGTTCGTGCTGGCAGAGGCTTCAGCCTGGAGGAGCTTAAGGTGAGCACGGGGGGCTGAGCCCGGCCAGCACAACCAGCTCCTGCTCCGAGCTTGGGGTTGTCCTGGTCGGTGTAGACAACGTGGCTCCCCGGGGTGTCGCTGCTGGGGACACGTCTGGTGGTGCTGGAGCACAGAGGACACCAAGTCTTGTTCCTGGCACGTGTGGGGTAGGGATGCAGCAGTGCATGTGGTTGCTGTGAAAATCCTGTGTCTGTCTAGTCAGACTGTCACCAAGATTCTATTAAAATAGGATTCTGGAATAGCCTTAATTAAGTCTCCTAGACATCTTTGGGGCTAACAAGAATAATTCCTAGCTTTGCCGTTAAATTATTTTTAATGCCCCATCCCTGGCAGTGCTGAAGGGCAGGTTGGATGGGACTTGGAGCAGCCTGGGCTGGTGGGAGGTGTCCCTGCCCATGCAGGGGGTTGGAACTGAATGATCTTCCAACCCAAACCATTCTATGATTCTGTAATTCTTGTGGGTTTCTGGGTTTTTTTTGTGAAACATATTTCTTCTGATCCTAAAAACTTGACCCAACATGAACCTTCTTGTGTTACAGACCAAGCAAACTGCTCAGCTCCTTTCCAGGAGCGGGGGGGGATGTGGTGCCAGGAGGGGGAACTGCTCGATGCAGCCTGGCAGGGTGGTGTTTGTCATGGAATAGCTGGGAGTCCATGGCAAGTGGGAATGGGTCTCCATGACCTTCCCAGGTGTGCTGAGCTGTTCAAAGCTGGACTGTGGGGGTTTGCAGGGCCCCACTGCAGATCTGCACAGTGGGCAGGAGCAGACAGGGCTGGCTGGCAGCTGGTGTCCATGGGCATCTCGTGTGTTGTTGGGTGTCTAATTAAAACATTTGTATCAGTGAAACGGGCGCATTGAAGCTGTAAAACTGTTCTTCTGGATGCCAAATGCTTAATTACTTTACTTTTCTTTCTTTTTTTTGTGCAATGGTGGAATAGTAAATGCTGTGCAGATGTTTGTCTTTAAGCAGAAAATGAGGCTGTTTCTTGTTCAGGAGCATTACAAAAAAATCCTTTAATGGAGCTCCCGGCACTCGGTGGAGCAGTTACCCATGTGCAACCTGATACGTTGGTCCTGTGGGTGTCATGGTTTAAATGTCCTGCTCATCATTGCTCAGGGGCTGCACTTTGCTCTCCTGAGAAAATCTATCTGCAAAAACTCCTGTCAAGTCCATGGAATTTTTAAAGCATTAAAGTGTGTTCACCAGGACACCCCTGGTGGCCCAGCGTATCCAGGGAGCTGAGCCTCTCCAGAGTCTGGAGCTAATCTAGGGGACGAGCAGCTCCTGGCACAGCAGCACTGGGGGCTGTTGGCTCCTCACCCTCTGCTCTCTCTCCAGCTTGCTGGCATCAACAAGAGGTTTGCCCGGACCATTGGAATCTCCGTGGATCCGCGGCGGCGCAACAAGTCCACGGAGTCCCTGCAGGCCAACGTGCAGAGGCTGAAGGAATATCGCTCCAAGCTCATCCTCTTCCCGAGGAAGCCAGCCATGCCCAAGAAGGGAGACAGCTCTGTGAGTGCTGTGGAGATGTTTCACGGGGGCTGTGTCTGGTGCTGCTTCCAGAGCTTTGGTTATTGGTCTGTCTGTCCCGGTGCCGTGGGTGCAGTTGGGCTCTTCATGGCGTGACCCGCTTCCCGTGCACGTTTGTAGGGATGGCTGAGGTTGGGCCTGCTCACATCACCTTCCATGGGATCTCCTGGTTACAGGAATGCTTTGGGCAGGCTTTTGGCTGTGCTGCTGAAGGTGCAGCTCAGGTTTGAGGCTGGGCTCTTCAGGAGGTCTCTTTGGTGGAGCTTTGATCATTGCCCAACTAGTGAGTCTTAGTTCATGAAGCTATTTTGTCAGAAGGGCTAGACAGTCCATCTGGAGTGTCTGTCATGGTGGTTGCTGCATGGGCAGGGTGAGGAGGGTGAGGTCTGACTCCAGTGCAGTGGATCAGTGCAGCCTGTGTCCGAGAAGGCTGTGGCTGCTGACACAGAAAAAGGCTTTTTGTTAGCATCTCCCCAAGATCCAGAGCACAGTTGGCTTTCCTTGTCTGCCCTGGGCTCTGCTGGTGGTGAATCCATCCTTCCCATGGAGCGGAGTGGGAAGTGGGCTGGTTGCTCAGGCTGTCCTCTGGAGAGTCTGTTGGCTCTGACCTGCTTCACCACAGCAGAGCCCATCACACCTGGGCCTTGAGCTTCTGTATCAGCATGTATGGATACAGCTGGAATACCGCTTCAGATTTGTTGGAATACTGTTTCAAATTTGTTTACTTGGACTACCTAAAATCAAACTGCGTCATCATTCCTGTGCAGTTCTGTGCTCCCACAGGCAGCTGGGATTAGCCTGAGGGATTGCTGAGGAAAACGCTGGGTATCAAACTAAAAATGGCTGAGTAGGTGCCAAGGTTTTTCCCGATCTCCTGAGGAGCTGCTGCTCCCCTGGCTGGCTCCAGGCTGATGGAGAGCCAGGGGGAAGGTGGGATGTGGATGCAGGGTGGGATGGGATGCGCATGGGTGTGTCAGGTGCTCCTGTAGTTGCAGAGCTGAAATGCTCAAGTCTTCAGCAGTCAGAGTTGCATCTCCAGTCAGAACCATAGCTGAGGTACCAGCCTGAGGAGTTTCAAATACAGAGTTTTTTAATTAACGTGTTTTGTCCTCTCGTGACACAGGCTGAGGAGCTCAAGATGGCAACACAGCTGACTGGACCAATCATGCCCATCAAGAACGTAAGTGTGACTGAATCCCCTTCTCTGTGACTTACTGAGACTTGAACTTCATGGGGAGGATTCTGTTCTGCAGCTCTTTGCTGTCTCCAGGCCCTTCCCATCCTCCATCAGAGAAAAGTAGGAGCAGGTCAAGCTTGTCCTTTTGCCAGGATCTGTTTGGTTCCTCAGCATTGCAGAGCGGACTGTGACCTGATTTCTAGGAGCTTTGCTCAACTTTTATCAGCTGAGGAAGTCCTTATGTCATGGGCTGTCTTTCTAGGTCTGGAGAACTCCAGGCCCAAATGTTAGGGGTTCAGGCCAAGATTTGTTGGATGGGAATGTGTATGCCCCACTTCTGCCCAAAATCACACAGAGAACCATGGCTACATCCATTCTCCAGGGATGGCCAAGGGGGAACGTGTGCAGTGACCTCCAAACTGCCTGAATCCTGCTCCTGAGGAGCATCTCCAGCACCTGTTTGTGCTCAGCACTGTCCCCTCCAGGGTGGTGTGTCCACTCCTGCCACGGAGGGCGCTCAACCCCTGTGGAATCTGGGGGATGCTGGGGGACATGTGCTGGCAGTGACAGTCTGAGCAGGGTGTGTAGTCACCGTTTGTCCCTCCTGCTTCCAAGAGGTGCTGCTGATAGTGCCACCAACCTGACTCAGGTCACACGTTGTGCTTGTTTTTCCCGTTCTGCTCCGGTGCTGACGCGCGCGGGCGAACGAGGAGCGGGTTGGAACGAGGTGGCTGGTGGAGCAGCGATAAGGGCAGGGCCTGTAGGTGGCATCTGGGCTCTCTTAGCAGCAGCCTGGGGACAATGTAGCCAGATTAATTGCGTTAAGCCTTGGATAGAGCCTGTTCCGGGAGCCTCTGATGTGCAGCTGCCTCTCTGGCGCTCTCTCCCGCAGGTTTTCAAGCGGGAGAAGGCCCGTGTTATCTCCGAAGATGAGAAGAACTTCAAAGCCTTTGCCAGCCTGCGCATGGCCCGCGCCAACGCCCGGCTCTTCGGCATCCGCGCCAAGCGCGCCAAAGAGGCGGCGGAGCAGGATATAGAGAAGAAAAAATGAACTGTTCTCCCCAGAACTGCCAATAAAAAAACATGTTGGAATATGAGCGTGCTGTCTTTTTAGGGCCAGCAGGTGGGACCCCTGCCCTGGGCACACCGCGGGTGCTGGTGTGGGTTGGTGATGGTGGCACGTGGAGGGATGTGGGAAATGTCATTCCCTGTGGGTAGAGGTTCCAGATCCCCTTGAGAAGAGTGGAACAACCACCTCAGCCTTGTGCATCTCCCTTTGGGGAGGCCTCTGCTGCTAGGCTGCCAGCCGAGGGGTTTTTTTGGGATATCCTCTCCCTGCCAGGCTTTGTCTGCTTCCCACCCAGCTCGTTTCTATGCCGTTATTTCAGGTTTAATGATTCCCACACCTCTGCGCGTGGTGCCGGGTGAGGCAGCGTGGTTGGTTCTACTGTGAAAGCTGGGCTGTGGTGGGTGTCACCCGTGGGTGCTTGGCCCTGGCCCAGAGCCCTCCGTGTTTGGTGGGACACGGGCTCCATAGCCGGGCTCCATAGCCCTGCCCCTGGTTTTGGAGGGGTGCAGGGGGAGCCAGCTGTGCCCCCAGCACCTGCTGGGTGGGGCAGAGTCCTGGTGCTGCACTGTCACCCTGCCCTTGGCTTCAGTTCAGCCTCTGGTCTTGTTCATATTGTTTAGGTTGGAAAAGTCCTTTTTAAGATCCTGGGGTACAACCATGTGCACCTTTTAAGTCTTTTCTTCACAGAAATCCCTTCATGGCATACAAGAGCCCTGGAGAAGGGCCTGGGAGGCTGTGGCACATCCTTATGGTTCTTGGGGTGGGTTCCCGGGCTCTGCTGCCCCCGGACGGGGGCTGACGGGGGTCGCGGGGCAGCACTGGCAAGTCCCCCCCGCTCAGGGCAGCGCTAGCGGGTCCGGCCCGCTCGGAGGGGCCGCTC